CGATTCTTCATCAAAAAAATTAGGTTCCGCTTGCTTTGCGATAAGATCAGTTTCCAAGGAACTCAACTTGTCAACTTCTAGAACGGTCTACTTTGCCCTTTTCGAATCACATTTTCGATACGCCCTTCCATTCTGGGGTTCGTGCTGTGCAACTCAATTTGATCATATTTTTAAATTACAAAAAACAAAAAGAGCTATTAGATATTCCCTAAAATTAAAAAATAGAGCCCATTGCCAAGATTTTCTCAAAAAATATAAAATATTAACACTTCCTTCCCTTTTCATACTAGAATCAGTCTGCCTAATCCGCAAACACCTGCCCAGTATTTCAGAAAGGCCATTGCATAACTATCCACTTAGAAACGCGGAGTATGATCTTTATCTGCCAACTCCATCCTCCGAGTTAATTAAGAGCTCTATTCTATATAACGCAAAAAAAATGCACAATCATCTGCCAGTAGTCATCAAGTTCATAGCATCTCTTCCTAAATTTCGCATAGCTCTAAAATCCTATTTATCAGAGAGAGCCTTTTATAAAGTAAATGACTTTTTTCTGACCTAATTTTGAGCGTTCCACACACTGGATCATAGTTTATAGGTAGGTAATTTGTTCATTTTTATATTTGTTTATGTTATATTTATTTATGTTAACTTTATATCATTTTATTTTGACTTTGTATACATGTAGATGTATATAATACATATTTTTAAATTTAAGGCTTTATCTTCAAATTATGTTATAATTTTTTTGACAATAAAGCATTATTATTATTCCTTAATAATATAAATGTATTCCTATGTATTCCCAAGTGGTCATAAGTATACCCATTGTATTCCTTTGTTATCCCTCTAAAATGTCCAGAGATTCCCAGATGTTGTTGACCTCTCGAATATATTCTTTAAATCTTGAAAACAAGATCATTCATCCTAGCTAAAACTAAACAAGGCGTTTATTCCATTAAAACAATCCAAGCCCAAGCATTGTTTGCTCTGTGCAGTGCACAAAAATCCATAAAAGTTTTGTGTTTACCAATTTATACATTTTACCTGCCACCTATAACATGAATATAAATATAAATGATCGCTGTGTATAATACAAAAACTGTACCGAGCACTATACAGGGTGTCCCAAATTTGAGGGCCGACATGAAGATATCGGTAACCATTAGAGATACGAGGGTGGTTAAATTACACAAAATATACTCATTTATGTGCCAAGGTAATAGATTTTAATCCCCACGTTTCGTCTATTTAGGCCCATCATCATAACCAACTTTTATTTTCAAATACAGACCTGAATACGAAAACCAGAAATCTTTTTATTTCCTACTGGCAAATTTTTTTGCTTTTATTTATGTTCGAGTGCACTCCACAGAACAAATTTCTAAATGGTACACTGAAGAAATAAACCTTAATAATGATATGCAAATTCACAACTTATTGAAAATACAACCTCGAATACAACTTTGTAATTATGTACTGATTACCTTTTTTTTTTAAATTATTATCATTACGAATAATTGAGCAAATAATACTGATAAAGTCAGAAACTTCAAATTAAATAGCATATGAAAGAAAAACAAAGATAGAAATACAAATATATATACAGCTTAACAGTGCCCATCCACCTACTCCTATTTGTTCAAAAACTTGAAAAACTTCAAAACTGTACCTACATAAACAAGTCGACACTTCCGAAGTTTGTATCATAATTCTTCATGAGCCTGGCTCAATAACTCTGTGTTCCATAACTAGTTAAGGACAATAGTGAACTGCAATCCATTTGTCCGTTAATTAATTTGAACAAAAAAAGCACTAGTGCATTTTGCCGACGTCGTTCCATCCTTTCGATTCCTGTTAGTTGAATACGAATTTGATAAGACATGCCTTCATATGGAAATTGCAGCTTGTAGAATAAAAATTTCGCAAACTTGTTCGGAACTCGCTCAAGGCGTTGGACATGATTATTATACATGAGATTATACATAGGACACCAAATGATACCAATATACTCTAAAACACTACGAACCAAATAGTTATACAAAGACATAATGGCTCTTACATCAGAGACATCTGACGACGGTTAAAACTCAAATCACTACTAAAGATTACACGCAAATCGTTTTAAAGTTATGTACACTTTCAAGAACGGAGTTGCCAATGGAATATTGGTATCTGTAGGGACTCTTACATTTATAAAAACGCATAACTTTACACTCATTAATGTTAATATTTAAAGCATTCAGATTGCACCATTCCACTAGATTGTCTAAATCCCGTTGTAAGGCCAAACAGTCCTCCAACGAGTTCCCAGGACGAAACAATTTGAGATCGTCTGCATATAAAAGGCATTTACACGTACTAAATACAGATGCTATTATGAAGAGAAGAAACAAAATGCATCCCAAATGCGATCCCTGCGGCACACCCGAAGTAACACTCATTTCAGGAGACTTCATACGATCCTAACACATTATCTTCGGTCTGTAAGGTAAGATTTCAGTTACCGGATATACGGGAAACTTATTCCCATAGCCGAGAGTCTCCCAATGAGCAATCGATGACAGACTCGGTCTAATGCCTTTGCAAGGTCTGTGTAAATTCACCTGAAAACCCTTCTCCACGCTGTTAACCAAGAAGTCTTGAAACACTTCCAGATTGGTGGCGGCTGATCTGCCTCTAGAGAAACCATGCTGATTGTCAGATATAAAGTGTTTGAAGCTTTCAAACGGTAATTATTTATTGGAAAACTTTGGACGCAATTGGTAGTAAAGAGATGCATCGATAAATTTCGATGTCCTTCTTGGATCCCGACTTGAAAATGGGAACAAGCCAGGAGTGTTTCCACAAAGTTGGGAAAACGCCTCCACTAAACGAAATCTGGAAAATGGAAATCAATGGGGCCGCCAAAGAACTGCAACGGTTTTTTTTATTACATTCAGAGCGGTATTGAAAAGATCTATATGGGAAAAGTCTTGATTGTAATTAGTGATTAGCACGCGTCATGATGCAATTCAGACCAGAGTTAGTTCTATGTGCAGGTTGGAAAAAGAGCTGCCTCTGTCGGGTTATTCTTCCATGAACCAGAAATCCAATTTCTGTCAGAAAAATTTATTTTGCACTCCTTCTACCCTTCTAATGTAGCAGATGTAACTTGGAGTCCAAATTGGGCTGCAGTATTCAAGTGTGGATCGAACAGGGAATCGAATGAGACTAATGAACTTCATATCATATATGTAGGTCTCTGGTGTTTCGTTTGATGAAACCTAGAAGTGCATGGGTCTGTTTCCACAGAAATCACAAAACAGTCAGAGCGTTTTTGATTGGTCCAACAACCAGTTTCCTGACTTTTTCAACCAATGAAATTTGCTCTGACTGGTTTGTGATTTCTGTAGAAACAGACCTAATGTGTTGATGTGTTTGTTAAAAGAAAGGTCTTTTTCAAAGGTGACTCCTAGGTCACTGAAGGTGTCGACTGTTTCCAGATTGGCGTTGTTGATGGTGTAGGTGGGCAGTATAGGATTTATGGTCTTGTGAAAAATGTGTTTGCACTTAGTAACATTGAGTTTGAGAAGATTTGAGGTGCACCAAGCGACCTGTCCAAATCTCGCTGGAGAGAGGTAGAGTGCCCGTTCACAACTGCGAAAAACTTCAAGTCATCAGTGTTGTAAGCAGAGGGATGATTGGAAGCATTGGATGACGTCATTTATGTAAAGAACAAACATAATCGGTCTGATGTGCGATCCCTGAGGGACCCAGGATGGAACTATGAACTTGTGGGATACTGCAACGTACACGCCAACTCTTTGACATCTTTCCGTTGATGGGTACGATTCTATACATTTTTAGAAACGTGAACCGAAGCCCATATCTGAGAATTTTATTAGTAAAACTTATGGTAAACACACACTATGAAAGGCCTTTGAAATTAAATGGAATGAAAGATCACGTCAACCTGTTTTCCTGATTCCAAAGCTTTCGTTAGGAACTGTTGGTAGACAGCAAGATTTGTTAGATGGATTTTCCCTTGCAGAAATCGTGCTGTTCGTTAGCAACGTAGTTACCATGAATACACATCTGTTAGAAGGGAAAAGTGTTGAGATTTTCCAATTTATGGGGAAAATACCAGTATCGAAAAAAAGTTGGGAAATATGCTTCAGAGGTTCCATTGGAGATGTGCATAACACTGGGAAGAGACCATCTGATCCACGACTGTTTGATGCATCCACAGAAATTCAGAATATAAGAAAACTGAATATAAACTCATAAAATTTACAAAAGAGTGAAGCACAATTTAACCTTTTGTAAATGTAAGAACAACCTAAATTCTCGTCTATGGGTTAAAAAATAAAATAAACTCAATGGCATACACAGCTAGAAAACAAAACCCTGCGCCAAAAAAAAAAAAGACAAATTTTAATATTTAATTTTATTGTTGGAATGCACCATAACATAAGGACACGAACTATCATCTTAGTTTCCCAATTTCCCAATTCCCAAAAGATATATTTTTGTGTAAGATTTGCTATTTATTGGATAATTTCTTCACATTGATTTTTAATCGAAGAAGTAGGTACCTACTTGAAGACTAAACAATACTTCAAGTATTGGTATTGGAGGCATACAAATGGTTATTAAAAGGCAATAGTTAATTTAGTCAGCTGTAATGAATGTTAATTATTTCCTCAAATGTTTTCAAAGTTAGGTACTTGATTGTAAATCAATTGTTCATGCTTGGGCTTGGGTATTTGAGAGATAGGTTAAATTTGCAGCATAGTGTATTCTTCTGTGTGCGTCAGATAATCTGAATTTTTTTTTTAAAAATTTACCACTCTGTAAACTGTACAATAACCTCATAAATTACTGATACATACTTTGTGGTGACAATTTTTCATTACTATCTCGAGATTTAGTCTCTTGACACTTGACAGTGATGATGTAATAAAGGACTCTTTACCTCAAAGATTCAAACTATACCATCAAAAAATTATTAGTTGAAACATCAGGTTTTGTGATATTTGAAAGAAAAATCAAATGTATTAATTGAATATTGTGTTACAGGTTCCAAAAGATGACAAAAAGGCCACCAATGAAACCAAAAAATTACATGCAGAAGGTTGTGCTCCAACTCCAAAACCAGCTACAGTTCCTGTTGCAATGAAAAAAGAAATTCCTGATCAGGGTTATTTTAGAGAAACTTTAGTGGATCAAATAGAAGGTGAAATAAAACTGCCTGCTAGATTGCCGATATATGTTAAACAAGAAAAAGCTTCGGATGATGAAAATGTTAAAAAAGAGAAAAAACAAAAGAAAAATAAAAAGAAAAAATCCAAAAAGGATGCTTCAAGTAGTGATTCAGAGGATGATAGGAGGTCTAGAAAAAGAAGGGAAACTAGTAAGGATAGGAATAAAAAGAAGAGAAATGAGAGGCGGGATAGTAGTGAGGAAAAAGTCAAAAGGAGAAAATACGAGAAAGAGGATAAAGATAATTCAAAACGCAGAGAGAGGTCCAACAGTAAAGAAAAAGATGAGACGACTAAAACTTTCAGAAGAGAGGTGCTTCCTAATATTCCAAAAAGATGGCAATAAATAAATGACACATTGTTCAAATATAGTTCAGTTTATTTTAGACAAATATTGACACAAAGTTTAAAATACATTATTGAGAAATCACATGCTGAGCAAAAATATTCAGGAAAATATAAAATCAAATTTTAAAATACATACATTATGTTTATATATATAAATATAAAATTCCATTAGGAGAAAAGTGAAAAAAATAATGAGTTTTCATTTTTTTTTCTACACATTGGCAAAAGAGGAAACGAATAGACACCATTCGCACTAACTAACATTACCAATTGAATCCGCTATATTATTTTCATAGAAAGGTTAATAAGGTTAAAACTATGGTCCTTAGAAGCCTAGCTATTTGGATATTTTTAAACCTCCCTGTATCTAATATAGTTGGTCCTATTTTTTTAAATTACATACTTTTATTATTCCTCTATTATTAACACATTTGTGTAAACAGTTTCCTAATTCTCTAAACCTTTAAACTTTTAACAAAACAAAATAAATAGATAACAATCAAGATAAAATTTATATTTTTCTCAAATACTATTTGGCTGCCAAGAGGCAAGTCTAATAAATTGGACGCTATATCGATATTTCAAAAATTGATACTAAATCGATCAATCAAAAAACACCCCTGCCCTTCCTCACCCGTAAAGTTTCTCCAAAATAGCTGTAGGGGCGTCTGCGCTGTATTTTGAAATTTGCCTTAGAAGAGCAAACTTTTTCGTAATGCCTTTTGAGGACTCCATATCGTACAGAGTACATAAATTGAGAATTAACGACTCGTGTAGAGCATGCATAGGATTGGAAGCAATAGCCGACTCTAGCACTGCTATAGCTTCTTTTAGGTGACCTCCGTAGAGCAAGCAAACGCCCATGTTGTTGAGAATCTGTGGACAAATTTGAGAATTCTTAATAAGAATACAAGAAGGATAGTAAATAAGAGATTTTATTAAGAAAAAAGAAGTAATGGTTGAAATTTTGGGGGTTGTAAGCTAGAACCTGGTGTTCATATTTGAGGGAGTCAGAGCCAAACCAACTTCAGTAATAATTTATTTATAGCTCTGATCAACATCTCATCTCAAGCTGTTTTGTTTTTTCTAGGAAAAAAACGGGAAATGTATCATTGACAAAAAAAAAATTATCCTTGACAAATAGTGTGAGATTCGGATTCTCAGATACCTACTAATTAAAACCCTGTAAAGCTATATTTTTGTAACTATTTTTCTTTTCTAGTGTTGTTGTTGTTGTCATTTTACCTCCTTCTCACTCAAACCATCCCTTATCTAAAACCCTTGACCGAACATACGAATTGACCTTAGACCTCGATTTAATCATAATTGGATAACAAATTTTATAGCGAACAAATCTGATTTGATCCTCTTATCTTGCCCCCACAATGCCAGGGGCTGGATCTTCTCTTGGGCCCTCAAACACAAACATTCACTCTTAGACTCCCCTCAAAATTTCATCCATTAGGTTTTTGTTTTCAATAAATCGGATGAAGACTAAAACTAAAAAGTGAATTTCTGACCATTATGTTCGATGGCTCAAGATTGCTAGCCTGTTGAAAGGCGACGTAGGCATCGTCGAAATTATTCTGAGCAATTGCTAATAGGCCCTTATCGATCATATCTCGGACTCCTGCAGGGCCTAATTGAGAAGCTTCTTGAAAACACACCTCAGCTCCTAAAAAAAAACATTGTATTCCAGATTTTACATGCAATGAGGCAATTTTTTTTTTTTTTTTTTTTTTTTTTTTTACGGATATGCGCACTCGCAAGGAAATGTCCTATCACGCTCGAGAAGCGGCAATTACCTGGAATATTTCCCATTTGTAGATGTAAACGACCCAGAGCTGATAGAAGTGCGTGTTTTGGAGCTCCATCTCTGAAATTATAATATTACGGTAAGAAATCTAGAATCAAGAAAAAGGTGTTAACAATTCACAAGTACAGTCATAAATTAAAACATTTTCATCGTCTTCGCATAGTGTTAATGCGCCTCTCGGTTCTTTTCGTGGTCCTCCCCCTTTTATCCTTTAGTGAATTTCTGTCCACAACTTATTACTGAGACTTTTTGCTAGATTTTTTTTTCCATACAATGGATAGCACACCCTGGAAGAAATTTTCCAATTTAACATTCGTTACTTTTCAAATTTCAAATATTCCACCAGAAGATGTGGGAACAGTGGAACCAGCTGAATTTTGAACGAGCTAGAGCATAGTAAAACATATTGTTAGCCGAGGGGGAGCGAACTAGAATTTTAAATTTCATTTGCTATGAAGCTATATCGAAATCAAAAACTACGTTGGAGAGAACGAATTCTATAATAATAATATAGAAAAATAAGTTTTAATTACCTCTCACAAAGCTGTCCTAATAATTCCATGGCCAGTTCGTAATCTTTCACTGAAATGGCACAGTTGATTATGGAATGCATGACTCTGGCCTCTCTGCCGCTCCATAATTTAATCGAGTCTGTTTTATCCATTTCTCCTATTTCCATTGGATTGCCATCTTCACAAAGTCCTAACAAAAAAAATGCATTAAAAAAGCGCTTTGGTGTTCCGTAGTTATTATAGAATGGGATACGACGCCTATTTATTGAAATCATTTTATACCGTCTTACATTGTTATCGTCAGTTATAAGATGGTGCTAAAACGCACTTGCGCAAGGGAATAGATGGAAGTTGGGGATGGATTTCGCTGGTTAAAATTCTTGAGAAAATGTAAATGTAGGTAGTCATGGAAGAGAAAAATATGTAATTATACAACATCTTGCATTCAGTTAATTTGTACACAAAAGAAATTGGATTAACGTATGCAAGACGTTTTCATGGGGGTTTTGTGTTTGTTATATTTAATATTACTATTAGGTGGAAATTGTTAATTTTCGAGAGGGGTAAAATACCATCTTACACCACTTCATAGTTCATTATTGATTGAAATTTAAGCTTAAAATGTAACACGCCCTGTTGGGGGGATAACGGGGTGTAAGAAGGTCGCAATGCGTTGTCTCAGAAGGTGGTGGAAAATCATTTCACACCGTCTTGCACTGGTATTAATGGAAAAAATAGAACATATTATTAAAATTTTTGAAAATACAAGACGTTCTAAATGAGAAAAAAGGACTGCAAGACAAAGATGATGTTGGCTTATTTTGAGAGAGGAAAAAATCAGTGAGCCTGCTTGCAATAATGAAATCCTCGATGAAATCTAAGACGCTTTTTATGGGCTTAAGGTGCAAGACCAAAATAAACTTGACCAATTTTGGGTAATGGGGAGTGCGAGCCAGACAAATTATTCAGTATATTGCGCGTATAAGCGACTGCGTTGCCATGTCGGTATATACTTTGAATTGGTTTCCTGCTTGCGCGGCAATATAAAACTTGCCTTATTACATTACATAACGAACTACGAATTCAAACGATAACACAGGAAAATATATTAGCATTTCAGTGTACCTAGTTGAATATTGTGTTAGATTGAAATCCAACTATATATCCATATGAAAAATTAGGATGTATTAGGAAAAATTTATTATGAACAATATTATTATGTACCCTAATAATCCATCATGTACAAAGATAAATACTACTCCTGCGTTGCGTAGAATAAACCTATTTTGCAAAATTCTCTTATTATATCTTTATTTAAATGTCTCTATACGGGTTGCGACTGTTTGTGGTATATACCAATTGAATGTTCGTCCACAGGATTACCATTGCCCTATGCTGGCCACACTGAATAATATCTCTGGCTCGCACCATAGAATCCTTTTTGAATAAATAAATATTTCAAATGAAATGCAAGACCTTTTATAAATGGAAATGATAGTTTGGAATATGGCGATTGTGGTAGCTAATTTTCTTTTGAAACGATGACAGTTGAATCCCCCAATTAATCACAACAAAAGCAGCAAATCACACAACAAATCACGTGGTATCTGTCGGAACTTGCAGAAACAGAAATTATAATTTCTGGAATCAGCAGACTCCCCGGGGTCCTTATTTTCGAAACCGGGAAATAACGTTCTCATGAGAACGACGCGACGATTTGATCTTTGTCAGTGTTATGGAAATATGAATATGAGCAGCAAAGACAGAACCTGTTTTGAGAATAAGGACCCTGTTTAGCTGCTATGTCAACTGGGCATCAAAGGAGTCGTGGAAAATCGTAAGCGACTTGAGAGGCAAGAACGTTCTTCAGGTCTCTGGAACATAGAAAGTAGATCAGCTTAACTCCTTTTATTGTTCCATAGTAGCCAATCTGTCTGATGGTTGTAGGGGCGTCTGCGCTGTATTTTGAAATTTGCCTTAGAAGAGCAAACTTTTTCGTAATGCCTTTTGAGGACTCACAGAGTACATAAATTGAGAATTAAAGACTTGTGTAGAGCGTGCATAGGATTGGAAGCAATAGCTAGCACTGCTATAGCTTCTTTTAGATGACCTCCGTAGAGCAAGCAAACGCCCATGTTGTTGAGAATCTGTGAACAAATTTGAGAATTCTTAGTAAGAATACAAGAATAGTGAATAAGAGATTTTATTAAAAAAAAAAAAAAAATGGCTGAAACTATTCCAAAAGCTGGCGACCCATTGACAGCGTAAAGAAGCGCCAGCGACGCGGGTTAGAACATGTGGCGGATATGATACATTAAAGGCTGGTTCTTAGAACTATGTAGTGTTGCCAAGGCACTCCCCCACCACCCTGTAGCTCTAAAACTAGCAACACCCAGATGACCATGACAGTGTTCCTGGCCGGCACACAAACAAAAACAGTGTCAAATGGTGTGGTTGAAAAATTTCAACGTCATTTCGCTATCGGCGACACATGCGTGCCACAATTCCCCTCATTTAGGAAGGGATAAAAGGTAGTGACGTCAGCCGCTTCTAATTGGTTAAACAAAAGTATGGCTGGCGACACTACCTACATAGTTCTGAGAAATCGAATTCCGAAACGTTATAATCTTGTTAAAATCACATTTTCAACATTAAAAATCAACTTTTCTACATTTGAAATCGACGAAAAAATTAAGACACAATAAGCACAGCCTGAATCGCAAGCATCCCATCAAGGCCTGCGGGTGACGTCACAACTATAAACGTGAAACTGCTGATAGTGGTGACGTCACTCGCAGGCCCTGCCGCCTCGAAAATTGGCAAACGTACGCCTTATGAGGATGAGCAATCCTGTTAGTTCATGATTGTTAGCTCCAAAGCGACAAAATTTCTATTATGGTCCTAGGTCCTTCTGTGTCAGTTATTGACAAAAAGTTCAATTTATATAGACTGCATAAGGAGAAACATGTTTCTCTTTAGAGGCAGCACTTCGAGACACGCGTTCAGCGGCGCTCGGCAACAGCCGCTTTTTGTCAGCTGCTGCCGATTTCGCTAGGCGGTAAAAATTCAGGCTTACGGACTCAACTTATGCATGAATCCCAACGATGCGTTCAGGAAATTTACATTCGCTTGTATCAACTGTCCTCAACTGCTTTACGCTGCAAGTTAGCAGCTGAGTACTGGTGAACGTACCCAATGAACAAGATGATGAAGTACAATCCCTGTTATTGCCGGTTGACAAACTATCGAAAAAAAAACTATCGATAGTGATATCGATAGAATGGCTTACCTATCGATAGTAACTATCGATTGTACTATCGATAGTTTTCTCTGACCATAGTGAACAAATTTGTAATTAATTACGAAATAAATTTATTAAATGACAACAATAACATCATAACCTTTAAATAACCATTAGGCTGAAGACAGAATGACAAATACAAGGTACAAGAGACAGATACAAAATATCAAAAAATCGAAATTCTGTATCGTGGAGTGGCAAGTAAATTGTATTGTGTCCATTTAATCTGTTATCGTCACTCCTCCTAACCTAAAAATTGGCAGCACCGCATGTCTATCCCTAAAAATAATTACAGATTTTTTAAAACAGCTACAGATTTCTTTATATTTCCCTCAATTCACAGATGTTTTCATTTACCTTTGGCTACTTTGGAACTATCGATAATGGTACAGGTCTATCGATACTATCGAAAATTAAAAAAATATCGATAGTATCGATATTCCTATCGATAGTTTGTTATCCGTAAAATATTGCCGTAAGTATAGCTGATAAGCTCTTTTTACAAATAGGAAAAAACGGGTGTCCCACTTTTCATGCTCACGACTGCACATAATTTAATGGATAAAATGGAATAAAATCGATTATCCCAAATGTGAAATAAACTAAACGAATATGGATTATTAACCCTTAATCCACTTTATCCGGATATAACACGTGAAATAAGAAATAAAAGTATATAGTGTCCGTGCAGTGAAGCTTCATGCAGCAGAAGTGAGAATACTCCTTAAGGTAGGCGCAGATCGATGCGGGAGCGGGAATGGGAGCGATGTGTAGATGCGGCAACGGTGGGAGTTTGCATAGCATGCACACCATGCGATTTTTCAGTGATGGTTTCCGCCATGCTCTAAACACCTGGTAGCGTCCAAACAATACAAAACATCACCAAACCACACCAAACTATACGAACTGCGGGAAAACACTGCATGCTGCGAACCAAAATTCATTGGCAGACATCCCGCAAATCGCACGTATTCTCTTCGTACCGGTATGCACTCCTTCATATCCCACCGTTGATTTACGTCCCGCAAAAGTTTCGTTCCCGCTCCCGCAGTCCTGCGTCGGTCTGCGCCTGTTATAAAATACCTTTATTTCGATTACAGAATCCAGAAATGTAATAATATAGCGTGCACTTCCGGCAAAACCGGAAGCGACAGTCAATTCTTTCCATACTGAAATTCTGCTTCGATATGAACAATAAACATCCCCAAAATTTAAAATCGATATCGATTTAGCCTAAGATAGAGCTTGGAGCTTGGTAGTAATCTCGTGGTCACCCGGTATAATAGGTCTGTTCCAACCAATGTTCCAACAAGTCAAAAATTGTTCCATGAACAGTTTTGAAACCACTCTAGCTGAGTTCAGGATGGCCCAACGGAGCTTGAGTAGAGTTGGAGTGGCGTTTTTTTATCACGTGAACAAAAAGCTTTTGGAATGGATTAGTGAAACCGAACGGCGGTGATTTGGAGTTTCCCTTAACCTTGCCCTAAGATCTGACATTATTTTAAAAGCAAACGTTTTTTCTTGTGTCTTTTCTATGAATTTTTGGTATTTGGTGGCTATATTTAATTTCGTTAAGGACGTTCAATTCGGAAACTTGTCTGAAGAAGTCATCAACATCAACATTGAGAATTTCAGTGAAATTACGCGTTGCTCGCATGTCAAACAAGCAGAGTAAAATCCATTCCATCCATTAACCAGTAGGTGATAACAGAAAATATTGATTTGTTGACTGTCGATTAGTCGAATAGTCGATTGTCGCAAACAAAAAAAATAGGATAGATGACAGCAAATCACGAAAACGCACACACTGCGCATGCCCGCTTTGGCGCTTGTTGATGACGAGGCGGTGCTTCCAGATTCAGCTCTTTTGACTCCTGCAGATCCTTCCCGAAAGAACGTGGCGTTACTCTTTTACCTCAAAATGTAAGCAATACCCGAACGCATCGAGAGTGTTTACTGCACTTGGAGTTTATCGAACAGTCATCCCGAACCCACTTTCCGTATATAAGTTTTGGATTCTACGCATAATTTTAGGTTTTCCGTAAAGTTAATAGGTTGTCTAATAATGGGTAAGTTGATGACGTATCTGGGGTGCCTTATGGAGATTTGCATTATGTTGAGGCACCCCAGATGACGTCATAAAGTTATCAGGCAACTTACCTCTCTCAAATACCTTGGGTTTTCCGCAGAAATTGACGATACAATTACGGTTTGCTGCTGAGTTGGAACGGAACAAAACTTATATGTATATTCTTAATGGCAGCAAGTTCCCCAAAATTTTGTAGAGGGCGCGAGTGAACTTGGGGTGCTTTCTATTTTGGCGGAAAATGTCAATAGTTTTAAACCCTTTAAATGAGTAGGTATAAGGAAAGATGACTACATAATGAACAATGGACAGTGAATAAGTTTAAATATCTTCCAAAACATTCAGTGGCCCTTAGAGAATATTTTTAAAAGTGTCAGCGTCAGCTTGTCTTGAAACCACACTTAAACCACACATCAAACTTAACTTTTGATGTTAAAACTACAATCGATTATTCACGCGCCAAAATTTAAAGAGCTCCAAGTACAGAAGCGCCCTCTTCAACTCAACTCTCAATATTACATGTCTAAAGCCGTGTTCGGCATCTTTTTCGTCTATTTGCTCCGAGATAACCTGTCCAGGGGCCTTATTCTGTAAGGAGCGAAGCGTTCGATTCGGTAGAATTTTTTCGATTGTGACGTCATTTTAGGTTTGGTAGCGCGAAACGAGCGAAAACTAAACCGAAAATGACGTCACAATCGAAGAAATTCTACCGAATCGAACGGTTGTTCCTTACAGAATAAGGCCCCAGTCACATGCCTATCAAAATTTCGGAGCAAATCGACGAAAAAGATGACAATGGCTGCTTCCACCAAAACCAAAACGGGCTGTGAACAGTTCACAATTTTTACAAATATATAATACCAACAGAATATGTTGGGTAAACTCTTGGTTCTGCTGAACGATTGAGATTGGACAATGGACCTATTGAACTTTCCAAAATGATAGAACGTCACCCTAGGAATTTCATGTTAACACACAAAATACGTGTTGAAAATTATAAACACTCTTAATGCTTGCCTAAATGGTGTCCGTTTGCAAAACATGTTTGGTTTCAACACAAATTCAACGTTCAGCCTATCAAATAGCATTGAAAGGTGATTTTACCTGCACCTACCTGTGGACATTAGGCAATTCAATCCGTCTGTCAAAAAGGAAAATTCAATATGGAATGGCGGCCAAGCAAGTTTGTTTTGAATATGTTTTTAAGCGTATTTTGAATTATTTTGCTTCGAGTTGTGCTTGCGACTTTGATTTTGATTATTTATTAAAAAATTTGTTGACTAGGAACCTAACCTATTAAATCGGACAGAAACTAGATATTTTTTTGCGTTTTTTGGCCCATGTGTGGCCGCCACGCCATCTTGAGTGTCACGTGGTTTAAAATGCCTAATTGGATTGTGAACGAATAATATGTATTAAGCCTAGTACTCATAACCACAAATTACGGATTTTTTTTTTCCGCAAAATAAAAATCCGCAATTCGCGGTTATGAATACTAGGCTTTAGGCAATCCCAATGAACTATAGCTAAAAACTGGAATGCGCACACATTGCCATATCTGCCAAAAAAATGAAGCCATGAAAGACAGATGCCACAAGGGGGAATGTTGTTTTTTTCTGTTGCTCGCTGACATATGACGTTTTCGAAAGTTTTGTCATATTTCCCTTCACAGGTTTCATCAATTGGAATACGTGTTGGAAGCAATTTTCGCCATTTAACATAATGAGTGCGACAAAAACAGGTATCCCCTCCGCAGCAGCCGCACTAGGCTTCAAGTTCGTCCTTATGTGTTAGCATTCCAGTTTTTGGTTATAGTTCATTGGGCAATCCAATCCATCTGTCAAAACGAAAAATTCAATATGGCGTGGCGGCCAGCAAAATAGTTTTGAATGTGTTTTCATGCATATTTCGATTATTTTGCTTCCAGTTTTGCTTGCAGCTTTGATTTTGATTATTCAATAAAATGTTTGTTTTTAATGTAAAACATTTTCATAGGTACAGTCGTGAGCATAAAAAATAGGACACTTGGTTTTTCCTATTGTAAAATGGGCTCACCAGCTACACCGTCGGCAATGACAGGGATTGTTATATTTCCGTTGTACAGAAAAGAATGATTTACCCAAAATAGCGAAAAATGACAAAACCTGTTAGTCAGGTGATAGTTCATTGGTGTCCCACGTTCATGCTCACGACTGTACGTGAACGACATAAACTATTAGGTCTGGCAAAAACTAGATATTTTTTTATTTTATTTTTGTGTTTTTTGGTGCATGTGTGACCGCCACGTCATCTTGAATGTTACGTGGTTTGGATTGCAATTAATTTTTTTCTGGACGCATTCATGGATTGATTGGTAAGGTTCTATAATCTATTTATGAATTCACGGATTTACCATAGAGTGAGTAGAGTGACCCCAAGAGGCAAGAATGACCCGAGTAGAGTTGCCTCCGTAGACAACCATTCAATCAATATTCATTAATGAACGCGCTCCAGTACAGAAAATTAAATAGCTTCGTTCTTTCTTTTTACATTCTAGTACTAGGGAGAAACACAGCTACTCCCATGTACAGTGACTCTCCTATGAGAACAAGCCATTTAATGTCAAAAAATATGTTTCCTCTTCTCACTCTAATGTTAAAACATAGAAAAAGATAGAAAAAAAAACGCTATAAAGCAGAGTCTAGAGACCACCTCCAGGAGCGCTACCGACCAATGAAATCTATAATATTCCTCCCCAATCCGCAATCTTCATTTCAACTTATTAACTAAAGTTTGTTTTTTTTTAAAGATAATTCCCCAAGTCAAAAATTTAGTAACTATGTTGGCAACACAAGCCTTTTCTACATAAAAAATTTGAAAGCATTGACAATTTTACATTGCATTGCCAACATAATGTCACTTTGACTTTTATCTTTAAAAAAAAAACACACTTTAGTGTTGTTAGTGTGCCCGATTTCAAACAAAAAAGGCAGTTTTCAGATAATCAGTACCCAGTAAATAATTATTGACAAAAGTTTAGTTAACAATGTTTGAAGGTGGTGAAGATATTCACGCGCTAATCTTCGATCCGGGCCAGTATTCCATCCGCGTTGGATATGCCCAAGAAGATACACCAAGAGCTGACATTCCGGCCGTTATTGGTGTGGCCCCAGAAGCTAAGTCGAACAACACTGCCTCGAAACCGGCGGATCAACTCAAATACTACACAGATACAACGTTCCTCAACATTTCTCGAGCCAACAGCGAAATGATAAGCTACATGAACAACGGAATAATTGAAAATTGGAACTTGTTTGAAAAAATGTTGGACTATTGTTACGCCAATGTTATTCAGTCGTCAGCAGAAAATCATCCAGTATTCTTTACAGATGCTCCGTTGAATCCAAGAGTAAAGCGCGAGCAACTAACTGAACTGATGTTTGAAAAATACCAAGTACCCGCAATGTATATGGCTACAAATGCAGCTCTAGCAGCATTTGCTAATGGCAAATTTAATGCTTTGGTTCTGGACAGTGGAGCCTCGTATACTACTGCTGTACCAATTCTTGATGGACTTGTCATAAACAACGCAGTGGTAAAGTCACCATTGGCCGGGGATTATATAACTTTGAAAGCGACTGAAATGCTCGAATCTATGGGCATAGATTTAACCCCAGCCCATTTGATTGCAATGAAGGAAGTTGTTCAGGACCAAGAAAAACCGAAATTTATAAAAAAGACCTTCACTTGCCCACCCACTGATTCGTGGATGAAATACATGACTAAACGAACAGTTCAGGATTTTCAACAAACTGCAATTCAGATTTCTGCTACATCTCCATCGCATTATGAATTCCCCACTGGATATAATCGACTCTTCAATCAACAACACTCCCAGCTAACTGAAGGGTTATTTAATCATGAAACTCTAGCCGTAGACAAAATAGTTGTCACAAGCATCAGCAAGTGTGACTTGGATGTGCAACCGGCATTGTACCATTCCGTAGTGATAACTGGAGGAAATTCACTGATGAAAGGTTTCACTGAACGTGTTGAGCAAGAAGTTAGAGCGAAAATGCCTGCAGCTATAAAGCTAAAAGTGAGAGCAGTCAAAGGGACAACTGAGAGAAGATTTGAAGCCTGGACAGGAGGTTCAATTCTGGCTTCTATTGGCACATTTCAACAACTGTGGGTGTCCAAACGGCATTATGAAGAGGTGGGAAAGCACCGCATAAACACCCTATAAATGTTAAACTTAAAGTTTTAGTAGAATCTGTTTCGTTATTTTTTTTGTGTCAGTTATTCAAATATTCACTAATAAATATATAAAATTCTTACCATGTTTCAAATTCCCCAACATTTTTCTAACTGTAGACAGAATACTAAAAAGTTTCGTCAAAGATTCTTTAGGTTTTCCACAGTGCATTGGCAACTCGGCTAATAAGAGCCTAAAACTGAAAGATGCCATAGATCCAGGACGTCCTCCGTACATGTCAGGATAAAATTGGTAAAACACATCGGGTTTTTCCAGTTGGCCAAAAGGTTGGGCTTCGGCTTGAGCGATATTGTAGGCTTTGGTTTTGACTAGAAGAGCGAGCCGAGTGAACCAGAGCTGGAACGAATGAGGGGAATGTTTCGAGGAATGACCTAGGGATATTGTGAAATTTAAGTTTTCTATTTATACTGATTTGATATTTATACCTTGTCTTCCTCTACCTTGCCCATAAATAGAGAGAAGCCTAGACGTAAGATTAATTGCTGCCCTAAAGTAAATTTAAAGAAATTCATGAAGTTTGTTTCAATTTTTCTGTGAGCTAGCATAAAATTGTGAACATAATTTTTCTTTTATATGTAATGGTTTTCGCTTTGTCAATTGAATTTTACAATTATATAAGACAATCTTTGTGAAAGTAAAAAAGTATGTTCAAAACAGTTAGCATACCTATAGGCACCAGCCTGTACTAACTCCCTCAGGCCTCGTTCATCTTGTGTCACATCTGAGGCTGTCAAAGAACGACGTTGAGCAGCTTCAGCTTCACCTAAACATATGCCCACCGCTTCGCCTATGGCATCGCCCAAGTCTTCTTCTAACAAAACCTGAATAAATGTTTATAGTCTAGGAAAATTGTCGATTTCAACAAAAAAAATCCTACCCAAATGAATTTTTCAGGGATGACAGGGGTCGGGTGGGTGATCATAAAACCAAAGATATCACACATTCACCCCTCTGGCGTTTTGCGCTATAGGGGTTGAAAGTGCGCCATTGGCGATTACTTGGTACCTATTGAATTTACAAAAAAATGTTTCAAATAAAAGATGTGCAACATTATTTGATGTACAATGTTTATCTGAAGACTTTTTTGATTAAGGGCCATCTGTGGTCATAAGGGCCGCTTGAAATTTTATAATGAAAATGAAAAATTTAAACCAACGTGAAAAAAATTTCTACAACATTTTTGCTTTATGAAGTTTTTACTTACCCCCTGCCGTTTTTCAATAGGGGTAGTTCAAAGTTTTTTTATTTTTTTCCAAAAAAAATTTCTTGATAAAAGTTTTATAAGATTACATTTCCTACAATTTTTCTTTATTAACTGTTTTTGTAACTCACCCCCATTCAGCGGGGGGACACTTCCCTTGGGGAAATTTTAGTTTTTAGGGGTACATATTAATTTTTTTTTCTTTTCTCGCCTTTAGTGCACATAAAAAGTTGCAATTAACATTGTATTAAAAGGATTTTTTTCCACCACCTTTTTGTTTTTAGGGGTAGTTCGCCTATTTTCAACTTAACAGAAAAAAATTATAAAGAAAAGTTGTTCAAAATAATAAAATGAACAAGTTTTCTCCATACATTTTTTTTGTAAAGTTGAAAATAGGCGAACTACCCCTAAAAACAAAAAGGTGATGGAAAAAAAATCGTTTCAATACAATGTTAATTGCAACTTTGTATATGCACTAAAGGCGAGAAAAGAAAAAAAAAATTAATATATATGTACCCCTAAAAACTAAAATTTGCCTAAGGGAAGTGTTCCCCGCTGAATGGGGGTGAGTTACAAAAAAAGTTGATAAAGAAAAATGGTAGGAAATGTAATCTTATAAAAACTTTTATCAAGAAAGTTTTTTTGTAGAAAAATAAAAAAACTTTAAACTACCCCTATTGAAAAACGGCAGGGGGTGAGTAAAAACTTCATAAAGCAAATGTTGTATGTGTTGTAGAAATTTTTTTCACGTTGGTTAAAATTTTTCATTTTTATTATAAAATTTCAAACGGCCCTTATGACCACAGATGGCCCTTAATCAAAAAAGTCTTCAGATAAACATTGTAGATCAAATAATGTTGCACATCTTTTATTTGAAACATTTTTTTGTGAAATCAATAGGTACCAAGTAATCGCCACTGGCGCACTTTCAACCCCTATAGCGCAAAACGCCAGAGGGGTGAATGTTTGATATTTTCGGTTTTATGATCACCCACCCGCCCCCTATCATCCCTGAAAAGTTCATTTGGGTAATGTAATGTATTTTTCGACTATTTTCCTAGACTATTATAATATTTATTTTTCATTGGGATGAAAATGTTACAATATGTCGTCAAGAGAAGAATTAATGCCACCAGTAATAATTACTGCTTGTCGGTATTTCAAATATCTCACTGGCCTACAGGCCGGGAAAGTGATTCCCATACTGCTGAGTATGGGACACAACATACATTTTTAGGGTGTTTTTGTAAGTATAATACTGCTGTATTTGAAATTGCATATTGAATATCACACATAAAACACTAAACAATTACCAAGCTTACATGTTATAGACCCTGAGATAGGGCCTGTTTAGTGGAGTCATTTTTTTTTGTCTGGCATTTTGAGGGATGAATGTGGCTAGTTAGCTAATGAGGATATAGGTGGTTTTAATGTCTGCCTCCTGTTCGAAATGTCCACAGAATGTTTCTCCGGAAAACTCGACTCCGAACTGTGATTACCGTCTGGCGATTTTTCAGCGTTATTTTCACAACAAAACCTTCCATTCTTTCGATTACCAGACATAAAGTAAATGTGGAAGGTTCTTTTCTTTTCTCTTGAAAGTTGACGCTCATCCCCACTTTCTCACGTATTGAAAAGCATCTGGTATTTTTTATGGGTGAATTATTTATCAATGTCAATCTCTTATTTAGAAGCCAAAAAATTTGAGATCATTAAAAAAAAATTCTTCATGTAAATCAACTTTTTTCTTCTGCAAATTTTCGAACGGGAGGCAGGCATTAAAATCACCCATATTCTCATCAGCTTAGTAGCCACAAAAAATTACTCCACTAAACAGCCCTTATCTCACAGTCTATTACAGAGTAACAAATTCAAATTCAAATTTAGCTTTATTGTCATAAAAAATAAACATTTGTAGACAAAGCCCTCGACAAAGCCTTAACATAAAAAGATACAATCGAGGATACAATAAAGAAAAAAAAAGTAAATACAAATGCATGTCATGTTATAAATAAAAAGAAAAAAAAATTAAAGTTCATAGAAAAGTTTTAAAATTAAATAAAAATTGCACTAAAAATAGCAAATAAAAGTAGAATACAATACAGCTGAAAGTCGGAAAGAAACAGTGTTCCTACATAAAAATTTAATAAAAATGTATAAAATTAAAAACATAAATTTAAACACAATGTGTATACTGGACAAAGTAAAAATAATATAAACAACAATATCATAAACAAACAACACACTTATCTTAATAAAACACAATTCAAAAAATTTAAAAGAAAAGAAGCACAAAACAATCAAAAGGAAAGAAAAAAATTTATATATAAAAAAAATCAATTAAAGCTATCATTAAAAAACTCATTCAAAGTATAATATGCCTTTTTGAGCAAAAGATCTCAGGTGTGCTTTTTAAACTGTTTTTCGGAATTAATCGTTCTTAAGTTTAGAGGCAAATGGTTGAACATTTTCTTACCACAGTAAATAACAGAACTCCTAACAAGTTCCGACCGAGGTAAAGGCAACCTAATATTGAAATTTTGTCTAGTTTCATAAGGATTATCACGTAAATGACTGGACTTATATTTTCGAAAAACAAGACAGACAGTTTCAAGAATAAAAATACAACTAACAGTCAACAATGCATGTTTCAAAACTAAGCAGAAGTTGCATGATGCCCGAAGAAAGTATGAAAATGGTCTTGCGAATGCGGATTCACCAAAAAAACTGTTTAAGTATATAAGTCGAAACTTGAATTCCAATGTATCAACCATAACTTCAGAAGATCCTGCATCTGAGCAGTTTTTGGTGTAGCTATGGCAGAGAAATTTGCAGAGCAATTTGACACACCTTTTAAAACTGAAGCTTATCCGGCTCCAGCTCTGCATGACAATAGAGTGGAGAAGTCCATCGAAGAAATACAATCTACAACTGATAAAGTAGAACAAGCATTAAAATGGATGAAAAAAGACTCAAGCCCAGGACCTGAAGAAATCCCAACAGTTTTTCTTTAGAACTGTAGTACCACAATTAGCCCCCTTGCAGGCGTGATGCAGGAATGTATGCTTCAAACAAAAAGTCCAGCACCTTGAAAATATTCTTATGTCACGTTACTGTACAAAAAAGGAGATCGACATAGACCAGAAAACTATCGCCCTATTAGGGTGGGTATTATAAAACTGCTTTGACAGTTAACTTGAAGTTAACTTTTTGAATTACATGTAATTCCAGAAGTTTATAGGTGAACTCTCAAAGTAGTTTTATAATACCCGCCCTTAGTCTTACTTGTAACCTGTTGAAATGTATGGAGCAAATTATAGTTAAGGAACTAAACTCTTTCTTTCTATAGAGAACAATCTTATGCCTCCAGCAGGCTGTGCTCCAGCCCAACATGGAATTCAACTAAAACGTTCTATCACTACTAATCTTTTGGAATATCAAAATGATTGGACAAACAACCATGACATTGGCCTACCAACAGATGTTATCTATCTAGATTATGAAAAAGCATTTGACAAAGTCCCACATAACCTGTTATTAGTGAAATTAGAGCACGTTGGAGTTAGAGGAAAGTTGCTTGCCTTGATCAAGGATCTGCTGGAGGATAGACTTATTCGAGTGAGAGTCAATGGAGAGCCTTCCAATCCCCATAGGGTAACCAGTGGTGTCATGCAGGGTTCGGTGATTGGTCCGGTTCTGTTCACAGCATATCTTTTTGATTTGGTGGAACTAATCCAATCAAGTGTTAAATTATTTGCAGATGATTTCAAAATCTATGCAATTCCTTTGATAGATGCGAATTTACTTCAAACTGACCTTAAGACTATTGAAAAATGGTCAAAAACATGGGGAATGAAATTGAACTCCTCAAAATGCACAGTACTAAGGATTGGCCCAAATAACCCTAACAAAGACTATTTTTGATGACTCTGCTTTGACATCAGTAAATGAACAAAATGATCTGGGAGTTGTAGTAACAACCGACTTAAAGTGGGAGAATCACATAATTAAAATAACTTAAAAAAGCTAACTCCTATGTATACTTAATTAACCATGCCTTTAGAGACAAATACAAATACAAATACAAATACAAATTATTTATTTCCATAGACTTTTGAATACAAGAATAGGATGATGTCAAAAAAAAAATATATTGTTTAAAAATAGATTAAAATATAAGTATAAAAGTTTCAATAAAAAATGGTAAAAACATGGTAAAAACAAAATCACAAGTTATCACACAAACAACATAGGTACATTTAAAAATTCTTTCTAGTTTTTTATTTATTTAGGTAGAAGGTCAGAGACGCTGCAATTCATAAATTGGTCAACAGAGTAAAATGTGTTTTTTGTAAGATTTTCCTTTAGAATATGTTTGAAGCGAGTCAACTTTTGAATCTTTTTCACTTCAGTGGGTAGCTTGTTGTAAAATTTAATTGGTAATACTATAGGACAATTGGCTACTTTTGACAGCCTGTGTATGGGGACCTCCAAGTTCAAATTTGTTCTCAATTCATATTGAGTAGCGCCCTTAGAAATAGAATAGTTGGAAATGTTTTTTTTTTAAATGCATAATGGATGTAAATATAAATAATGAAGGAAATGTTAGTATTCCTAGTTCAGGGAATAATTGCTTGCACGAATAAGTGTATGGTTTGGAGCATATTGTTCTTACTGCCCTTTTTTGAGCTCTAAAGACCTCGTAAGCCCTGGTGCTAGAGTACATAAATATATACAGAGAGTTTTTTCAAAACCGTATCAACCTGATTTGACCAACTAAAAAGATCATCAAGAATAATGCCCAGATATTTGGTGACCCTATTCTGTGTTATTGAACTGTTATGCATTCTAACCAGTAAGCTTTTATTTAGATCCGTAAGTGAAAATAACATCATTTCGGTCTTTGATTGATTTAAAACAAGACCATTATTACGACAAAAATGAATCATTCTATTCACGGCACTAGTTGACATTTTGGACAGTATCTCAAGATCACCGAACGATGTGGTAACACTTGCATCGTCCGCGTATGCACCCACGCAATGATACGGAAATTGCTGCATTATACTGTCAAAAAAAATTATAAATAATAAGGGACCCAAGATGCTACCTTGCGGTACCCCACTAGTTATTGATAGATAACTTGAGTTAACAGAGGCATTTTCATTTTTCAAATTAGTTTTTTGTTCCTTATCAGTGAGGTACGATTTTATCCAATTGTAGGAGACACCGCGCATACCGCATTTGTAAAATACGTCAAGCATCAAGTTAATATCTATTACATCGAAGGCCCTTTTCAAATCAAAAAAGAGACACAAGGACTTGTTGTTTTGCTCAAAATTGGAAAGAACATGAGTATATAAAGCTAAAATAGCATCCTGCCAGACCACTCCATCGAGATGATATCCACCTTTTACAAAAGCTATATAAGGCCAAAAATAGAATAGGCTTATACTCTCTGGAATCCATATTACATTAAGGATATAGAACTTTTTGAGAAGATTCAGTGCAGAGTGACAAAAATTCCCCCACAGTTGAAACAGTTGCCATATCTGGAAAGATTACTCAAATTCAATTTGACATCCCTTAAAGAAAGAAGGCACAGACGCGATTTAATTGAAACCTACAAAATAACCAGTGATTACTATCAGTGTAATTTGATAAATATTTTCCATCCATGTCGAAATCCTCATCTTCTAAGAAGCTTGAAAATGGAATATCGTCAAAACTACCTAGGAAAACTTTATAGTAAACCGTATAGTGCATTCTTGGAATTTGCTTTGCCAAAATACAGTCCCAGCACCAAACACTAATATTTTCAAAAATGGTGTTGACAGAGAATTGAAAGAATAATTCATTATGGTGCATAAACTAAATCTCATGTATCCTTTTAAAATTTTGTTAAAGTAACAATAGCTTCATCGGTTTTGACTGCCTGCTATTGTAATTCTAATAATAATAATAAATTAATTTAAGTAATAATTTATGAAAACATCAAATACATTTTGTGTTACAATTTTTTTTGGAGCTTTTTTACACAGAGCACATGGGATTGTGATGTGATTCCTTGATCAAATGATCTATTGGAATTGTAGGTAAGTAAATTCCCAAGAGCTATGGTCTTGTAGACTGTCGAAATATATTCTGCTTAGTTGCTAAATATCTTCTTTTGCTCTATAGATGGACCACTTTCGTCCCAGCCCGACTTTGGGGTCAATCCCTTAGACTATTTGACAGACAAGAATGTCACAAATTCCTTCTTCTTGGCACCAGTCGATGTTCCTGAGATCAAAAAAACCCTTATAACCTTCAAAAACCAAAATTCTGATGACATATCCATTAAACTATTACTTCATCCTAATGATAGGTTTTTGTGCGCTTGGAGATGCAATAAATGATTCCTTTGACAAGGGTATATTTCTATGTTTAGACTTTTCGCTGGCAACACATCCATTGTTTGGCATGCGAACTGCGAACTGTAGAGCATTCTTGGAACGCATGATTAATGTCGCTTTAGATTTGATAAAACCTGGTGCTACAGCAACAATCTATCTTCCAACATATCTCAGACCAATATGTTAAACTTCAAGTGCTCATTATCCAACATCTCTTTATGTGGTGATTTTATTCATCCCACTGCCTGTGCTAAGTTTCTTGAAGTTACAGTGGACAAGAGTTTGAGCAGCATATTATTGTGGCACTCTCTGGTAGGCATCTAGATGCTTTGAGAGTACTCTCAGAGCTGTAAAAGCTGCAAGCTCTCAGGACCACATATTTTTCTCTGCTGGAGTCACACATTACTTATGGAATTGCATTTGGGGGTTGTTGCAGAACTACTAATTTCAACTCTATATTTTGTTTTAATTTTTTTTTTTACAAAAAAGAGCCCTTATAGGTCCGACAATCTTGCAAACCTAGCTTCATTTCTCATAGAATTTCAACTGTGTCATGCTTATACATACTTGAAAGTGTTTGTCTGGTTTATAGGAAATACTATGACCAACTTTCTTTGGGAAAGCACTATTCCACTAGGCAAGCTAATCATTTTTCAATGCCAATTCCCAGAAGCACCTTGATGAAGTAGTCTTTTGTTTATTTTGCTAAAAAATCCTACAATTTTCTACCATCTAGCAGTGGGTCTTCATACGGGAGGTTTACAAAGAGGGTAAGGAAGTTACTCTTGACTAAAGCCTACTGTGATGTAGGGAATTCCCGAGAGAATTGGGGACACACCTTTCATAGTTTTAATGTAGTTGAAATTTTGAATTATTCTAATAGATATTAAGTTTAATATTATTTTTATTAAGTTGATATGCTTTGACAATGAAAAGTTTTTCTTACCCCTGGCATTGTTAATAAATCGGAATCAGGTACATAGCTCCCTGCTGGAGCTGTGGCATTGGCAATAAGCGCTTGTCTAGTTTTTTCTATAGGTATCCAAGCATCTCGTCTACGGTCAGCTTCTGCACTTGTGGTCATTCTTGGTATGTATGTCTCCTAAATAAAACATGTTTCACATTCATTTTTAAAGCTAATGCTCTAGTACCTCAGTCTTTACAGGTAGGCCTAAATCAGACATAATCCCTCCACTTGAACCCTTGCTTCCATCATTACCAATCAAATCAAAAAAAGCTGCCGTAGGATCTTTGGGTTCTACAGAGGTTTCAGAAAAGATCCTGCACACTTGTGGTTCCTGTTTTTGGCTGTTTTTATCGATGTTGTCCAACCTAATATTGCTTATTTTGTCTGTGGCATCTGTAAGTTCTTTGGTGAAATCGGTTTGTTCTTTCTCAGGATCTCTACCAAAGTAGTGGTTGAGGCTCGAGGGTTTTTGGTCTGTCATTTTTCAACGGAGAGTATTATGATTTGATAAATTTGTTGTGATTTATGATAGTTTATGCCATCTTTTTGAGCAAGAGAAAAATCATATTCAACGCAGTTTGAATCGATTTTTTGAATGTTTTCATCCCCCCCACCCCTCCCTCATTAATGACACTGACACGACTATGACAGTATTCCGGCCTTGTATTGTCAAGTCTTCTTTTGCCCAAAGACGCACTACTCGTAAAAAAGTAAACAAAACATGGAAACATGCATGACCTAACCGTACTTTTTTGATTTCCAAAGTAAAGTACAGTACAAAAATAATTATTTCATTATTATTTAATCCTATTTCAAAATTTAAAAATAATTTAATGTCTTGGTCACGAAGTTTTCGAAATTTTATAAGACGGCACACGGCTCCAAAAACGGAACAAGAAGCTATATACTGGACAGATAAACTTTCTTCAATTTATGTGTTTTGCGCTTGGAACGCTATGGGTTTCGCTGTAGCTGGTTGTCTCTATAAATACAAGATGGCTAGAGTAGACGAGCAAAAGCCTAGTCGAGAACAAGGTAATAATTTTATTAAGAACGGAAACTGGAAACGTATAAGTAGGTACACAAGTTGTGATAGAACAAACTTTTGTTGCACTCAAGTTATGTGCTTGTTAGAGCACGAGGGGTAGTATATGAGGGGTAAACCGCCAGCCAAATTTGTACACTGGATTCATAGAGTACAAAGGAATACATAAGAATATAAGACGTAGAAATCCATATGACTACAAGGGAAATAGGGAATAATTGATTAGAACTTATTTAACGGATAGGGTGCAATATGTAAAAATGGAAAAGAGTATTAGTGGCTACAAAACTAATGCATGTGGGGCGCCTCAGGGGTCTGTCCTAGGACCTCTGCTGTATTCACTTTACGTACTCAGTCTAAATTTGGCAGGTCTAGCAGCACGTTACTATATGTTTGAGGATGACACGATACTATTATATAGTGGTGCAAATGTAGAAGAACTTGAGCGTTGTATAAATTCTGACTTGGAGCAATATGCCAACTGGTTGCTATTCAATAAACTAAAAATAAATATAAGTAAAACGAAATTCATGATATTTAGGCAAAAAAATAAGGTAATTAGAATTCCCACGATTAAAATAAAAAATGAAGTTATTGAAAGGGTGACTGTAATGAAATACTTGGGCTTATTCTTAAGTGATTATCTTAATAGCAATGAACACATCGCTCAAATAACCAACAAAATATCTCCTACAGTGGGTGCAATGTTTAGGTGTCGCGGTTATTTGACATACGGAACTAAGATGAATATATACAACGCTTACTTTTTGTCACATTGGAGATATTTGATTCCCTGTATGGGGCATCTGTGGTGTGGTCGAATTTCAGAAAGTTCAAGTACTCCAGAACAAGGTTTTAAAAATTTTATTCGAATACGACCGTCTAACACACACGGATGATTTGTACAGAGCGCTACCTGTTATGAAATTGAGTAAAATGCTGATGTTGGAGCAATGCAAGTTTATATTTAAAGTTATTCATAAAAAACAAAAATCCAACACCGATGTGGTGTTTACGGAAAACATTCACTTCCATCATACAAGATACAATACCAGCATATTTCTAGACAATGTTAGAACAAATAAGGGCTTGCACAATCAGTTACCAGTTCACATTAGAGAGTCAACCAATCTCGTAAAATTTAATGCAGCCCTAAAAGAGTATCTTTCTGGTAATGATGTTGTTTGAGGATAATTATTATTATTTTTTTTTTCAGTTCCTACTTGTGATTTTTTTTTTTTTTTTTTCTCTTGTTATGTATTTTTGTAGACTATATAAAATACTATTGGTAAATTTATACATATTCAAGTTGTCACTGTTGTCTTAGTTGTTAAGTATGATTAACCTCGTTACCAGTGTTACATACACTGCTTAGAGGATTGTCTTAAAAAGAAATTGTTATACCTTTTGTTGCAATTATTTAATAAAGATGGTTTCAAAAAAAAAAATCAGAGTAAATGGAAATACATAGGAGAACATGAGAATACATGCGATTGCAAGGCAATACAAAGCTTTACAAGGGAGCGCAGAGTAGGTCAGATAGAGTAGTGCAGATAGAGTAGAACAGATGGAGTAGTGCAGTGCATGCAGTGCAGATAGAGTGAAATAGGGCTGCGCTAGAGATTTTTTTTGTTTTCTTTACATTCTTTGAACATTCCTGTGCCTGAGTTTATTTATTTGGTGGTACACTTTACAAGAATAAGGCCCACAAGCTGCCTAAAAAAGGATGATGTAAAATTTTAATTTTAGGTGCCTTCTGATCCAGAGAGTAAACATTAATTTTCTTCAACCAAAGCCAAATTCACCATGGAAAAAAACTGAATTTAATTCAGCTAATAGATACGTTAACACAACATTTGATAGGTATATTTAATAATTCAGAGGCGGTACGAAGTTCGCCGGGTCAGCTAGTACAATGTAAAATTGTCAATGATTTCTAATTTTTACGTAGAAAAGGCTTGTGCTGCCAACAAAGTTGCTAAATTTTTGACTTGGGGAATTATCTTTTAAAAAAAAATAAAAAAAGACAGTCTTTACCATATAGAAAAAATGCCAAACTAAAACTTGTCAAAATAATGCCCGTAATGCCCGTAATCATAGCCCGTAATGTCGTAATGACGGGCATACCAGGTGCGTACCAGCACCACCACGACCAACATGAGAGATGCATTGACGTAAGTGGGTATTTCAAATTTGGAGAGTTTTGATAATTTATTTAAATATGAACAAAGGCTCGGAAAATTGTGAAACTTTGCACAACTGCTAAACTCACTACGCTCTTTTAGAATATGTGATAAAAAAAATGCTGTATGAGCCTATTATTGTTGAAAATCAAAATTATACCTAGGAAAACTTACGAATTATTGAATTATTTATTATAATGTTTTAGTCTCATAATCTGATGCTCGATCTTATATTTTTTAGGAATGCATATGAAATGGACCATGAAATATTATATGTATGCTTTACCTACTTCAGCAATGTTGTCAGCCTTAGGCCAAGTAGAAGTAAAGTATGTTTTTTTTTTTAAAGATAATTCCCCAAGTTAAAAATTTAGTAACTATGTTGGCAACACAAGCCTTTTCTACTTTTCTACATAATAGTTGGGGAGCTGGCGTCAAAAACATGCAAGAGTTTTCGCAAGGCGGATATTTTCAAAATAGGTCGTACTTTAGTGCTAGAATGCTAGTGTACAGTCAGCACTCACAGTTCCGGGACAGCTGGCTCTGGGACGCGGGCAAAGTTGTAATTTTAAGAAGCATCTAAACTGTTTTCTCAAAGCTCAAAATTTATAGAAATTTTGCACAATATCTGTTTGAAGGTCATAGATAACGTATGTAAATCGTCAGACGTCTAGTTCGTTGCAAAAAGGGGGTCAGACGTCCTCAAAGTTTTTATTTTATGGCATTTTCTTCAAATATATTTGTCAAATACCTGCAAAAATATATTTTGACAGGAAACCGAAGAAAATGCCATAAAATAAAAACTTTGAGGACGTCTGACCCCCTTTTTGCAACGAACTAGACGTCTGACGATTTACATACGTTATCTGTGACCTTCAAACAGATAATGTGCAAAATTTCTATAAATTTTGAGCTTTGAGAAAACAGTTTAGATGCTTCTTAAAATTACAACTTTGCCCACGTCCCAGAGCCAGCTGTCCCGGAACTGTGAGTGCTGACTGTACACTAGCATTCTAGCACTAAAGTACGATCTATTTTGAAAATATCCGCCTTGCGAAAACTCTTGCATGTTTTTGGCGCCACCTCCTGGACTATAAGAAATTTGAAAGTATTGACAATTTTACATTGTATGCCAACAGAATGTCACTTTGACTTTTATCTTTTAAAAAAAAAACAGATTTTATCTAGCCCAGACACAGATTAGCTCAGATATTAAAAAAATGTTTTGGTATTTGTTGTTATCTATTGCAATACATCATTCATAGTCGACAGCGTATATTTCTCCATTATGATTTCTGGCATGATTCTATTTGAACTATCTTCTTTACTTGAGGTTTCTAAATGCACTTTGCCATCTGAAGAATCATCAACATTTAATAATAATAATAATAATTTATTCATGTTAATTACACAGTATAGAGTGTTTACCTATGTCACTAGAAAAATTACAAAATTTCAAAATTGAATACCATTTAAAAGACAAATTGAAGAATATTATATACAGTGAGCACGTAAAGGTTGGAATAAAATCTATAAAATATACAGGGTGGATATTTTTCAAAAAACCGCGAACACGTCAATAGTGGCCGTTTTTTTGATTATAATACCATGTATACAGGGTGACCGAAAAACAAGTTATGACAGCTTACTTAATTTTTTTAAATAGAAACACCAATTTTTTATTTTATTTTCAAATTCTACGTTAAATTCTGAACCTATTTCATGTATCATGTCCTATACCTATCTTCAACTGTTTCGGAAATATTGACAATTGAAAATTGACTTTTTTGCAACTTTGACAAGCTGTAGAACCTAAACGGTTGATTTTAGAGCAAAACTGATCAGACATTCTTATCTTAGTTTTCCACAAACTATCATTTGACACCATATATTTATTATACTACGTATATCGCGGGTTGGTTTGAGTTCTTGAAGCAAACATTATGAGATAGAACAATGCCTTCTTTGTCTAAAGTACTGTACTTTTTAGCTTGACATGACAACACGGCACGAAAAGCTTGATGCAAAATGGCAACCGCCGGCCAATAAGAATCTAGAGTTTAACGCAAGCGCAGTTCATAACTTCGTTCTCCTTCGTTTGACAAAGATAGACTTATGCGAGATCATATAACTTTATCTCTCTTTGTTTGCTTCAAAAACCGCACATTGGGTAAATGGGGAAGGCGCGATATACGTTAGTATAATAGGTATATGTTTGACACCAACTTAGAATTTAATCCATGGTTAAAAATTCCGGCTAAATTTAATCTCCGGTTAAATTCAAAGTTGGTGTCAAGTGATAGTTTATTGAAAACTAAGAATAAGAATGTATGATCGGTTTTGCTCTAAAATTAACCGTTCAGGTTCTACAGCCTGTCAAAGTTGCAAAAAAGTCAATTTTCAACTGTCAATATTTCCGAAACAGTTGAAGATAGGTATAGAACATGATTCATGAAATATGTTCAGAATTTAACGTAGAATTTAAAAATGAAATAAAAAATTGGTGTTTTCATTTAGAAAAATAAAGTTAGCTGCCATAACTTGTTTTTGGGTCACCCTGTATATATGGTATTATCATCAAAAAAACGGCCAATAAAATCAAAAAATGACGTGTCCGAGGTTTTTTGAAAAATATCCACCCTGTATATTTTATAGACTTTATTCCAACCTTTACGTGCTCATTGTATAATTAGTACTAATTTGGGAAGAAGTTCTTCAATACAAGATCTACAAAACGGTTACTAGAAAATTCATCCAGAGAATAGAAACATTTCTTAATTAGGTATGTTTTTATTACAAGCTTAAAC